TTCATGTGTCCACTCAATTCCATCTTCCATCACAGTCCCAACCACACAAAACTTTCCTTACATTCTCTGTTTCATCTGATGATACCAGCGTACCAGCGTTCTCTCTTGTGAACCTTAAAGTCGTCTTTTATTCCTCTTCCCTCTTTGAACCAGTCAGCCATAAAGGTACATTTGGTCTGCCTCTGAGGTTCTATAAAATTGCTTCCTTCCTTCATATCCCTATCACTGCTGCTAGCTTGTTGCTGGCCTTCATTATACAGGCTTCTCATTTATTATCTGCACCTCCAGTGTTTTTCTCCCCCTGTGATTCAGGTTTTCTGCTGCCACTAAAGTGATGTATCTGAGATGCACACCTCACTATGATATTCAGGAATTCAGTGTCTTCCCCATACTCTGCAGAGTAAAACTCCTATTTCTCCCTCTGACAAACACACAGGTGATGGTAGCTGGCTTAGCTACCTCTGCCCACTCTGTCGAGGTCGCTCCCGCTTCATGCATGGCACCTATGTTCCACTAACCTGAACGCTGTTCGGCCTTCACTGACGTGTAGACAGTGTTGCTTCTGTTTGTTTCCTGCTGCCTCTCTGCTTGAAGTTTTGTGCCTTCCCATCTCCAAGTCACACCAGTATGTCTAACTGGTATTCTCTGTTTCAAACTCAACTACATTCTTAACTAGAAGCCCGCGTCTTTACGTTGGTTAGCTTTGCTAAACACAATGTGTCCGCTTTTTTCTTAGCAAACATCATTACTGAATTGTGTTTACTAGAGAGTCTTCCCCATTCCTTCTCACACATACACACCAGTAATTTCTTTGAGGTCAGGACTTATACCCAATTCATTTTCGTAGTTTCAGTTAAAGCACTGTTTCTGGCACATACAGTAGTTTTTTACCAAGTAAGCCAATAAAATTCCTACTTGGAGTACATTGAAGCATAAAAACAATACATACTCTTGACAGGCATGTGTGACCAAAGGGTCCTTTTAACTTGGATATTGACTCATTAAAATTGCCACCTTTGTTCCTCAGGAGAAAATTGGTTTCTTTTATATTCTTTGAACTCTGCCCCTTTATTCAGAATGGAAACACATTCTTAAAACATTGCCAATTTAGTGATTTTCAAGGATAGGAGGACATTGAATTATTCAATTATAAGACCTGTTACTACTTTGTCATTAGTAAAAGGGAATCCTTGTAATTAGTTTAAAAGAGAAAACCAGTTAGTTGCTCGTAATTAAGGTTTGCATTTGTTAAAGACTTACTGTAGATCGGTTTTGCCCAAGTTTGAGAACAGTTATGATTTTAGAACATGGCTTAACATATTTTATGTTCTTCAAGGCTGACATGTCTGTTGACCTTGGCTAAATTAGTCTCTTTGAGCAGCTGTTACTTTGTCTTAAGGTAGAGATAGTTCCTATTACTAAGCTTTCAGTTTCTTCAGGGCAAACAAGAAATCAGTTAAGAACACAGACAGGAAGATGGAACACAGCTTATAAACAGCATGATATTCACTATTCAGAAAAAGTCTTGTTGCATATTTTCATATTACATTAAAGTAACTTTATCAGTCATTTGAGAGTGACTGAAAAGAGGGGAAGGGGACTTGTAGGGATTTTGTTTTTAAAGAATATTAAAATTTAATCATTCATTTCTTTCACTTCAGTGAAACACTAAGAACAGAAAGGTTATATTTTGCTTCTAAAAAGTTACTTTATTTTGAACCTAATGTCAAGGAGGTATCTGTAATGGTAATTTTTTTCCATGTTTAATGCCATAGGTGTCTATGCCAGCAGCTCATGCAACATCATCCGCTCCCACCGTAACTTTAGTACAGCTGCCCAATGGGCAGACAGTTCAAGTCCACGGAGTTATTCAGGCGGCCCAGCCATCAGTTATTCAGTCTCCACAAGTCCAGACAGTGCAGGTATGTGTATAAAACCTTTTCCGTATACCTTTATAACTATTGCTTATAGCCATTTCTGTCTCTTCATTAGCCAAGGACACATCTAGTTTTAGTTTTATGTCATAGTAAAGAAATACGCTGCATCTCATCTTATATATGGGAATCTATATACACAAGAACAAACATGAAGAAAATGATCTTTTCTTAAGCTACAGAAAAATAAAAATGGATTGAGGAAAATAGTTAAATATATGGGATAAATTGGGAAAGACTTGTAAATCTGATAGCCTCAGTTAAGGAAAATTAGGGTGCATATGTAACTTTGTTATAATATTCTAAACCTGGGGAAAAATCTTGATTAAAAAATGAATAACTTTACCTTTATTTGGACTTAGAGATCACATAAAATATCTGTAATACTCATTTTGTTTGGGTCTTTTGGTTAGCATATACAACTTGGAAATAATCGTGTATTCAGAGGGCACATTACTCGTACCACACGCTGATCATGTTCTTTAGAGAGTTTGTTCCTTTGGTTTGAACCCAAAGGAAATAAAGGTACTCTGGACTTCTGAAGGTGACTGTTTAATTGTAGGGAACCAAAAGCAGTGTAGATCTTTGCAATTGAACTTACTGAAGGAAAAAAAGACTGAATATTCATTAAAGTAGGCTATAACCCCAGCCTCCCATTTCATATTTTTTGCTTCACAGTCTTCCTGTAAGGACTTAAAAAGACTTTTCTTCAGAACACAGGTGAGTCCTAGGTCCTAGATTTGAAGAAAACTATTGTTAGGAAGGTGAGAAATTCTTTATGTCTTTGTCCTTCTCTATAAGTGTGGAATTTTCAAGGTTTAAGTAACTTGTTACCTACTCAGCTCTTAATATATTGTTTAACCCTTCTCTCTAGCACTTCTCCCTCTCCACATGGTAGTCTCACATTACTTGAACACATGCAGAGAAAAGCTCTATTTCCTGAGGTGATCCTGACAGTCAGGGGTGATTTCTAATTAGTTTTTGTGGTATTACACCAGAATATATTTTTATAAAATTTTTGCATGGTATTCCCAGTTGTCTCCTCAGAAACTAGACTAGCAAATCTGACTTCTGTTTTTGTCACACTACTTCCTTTTCTCCTACCACTATATCCTACCTATTTATAAGAAAATTTCAGACACAACAAACTCCTGGTTTTCTTCAGCCTTGTATTGTTTTGTTTTGTATTGTATTGTATTTACTGTATTGTATTGTGTTATGTATCTTTAATACCTCTTCACCTTCCTGGTTGTTTTCTAAGTGGGAGCTTTTTGATATTTTATGCAGAACTGACTGATATTTGTAGAAGGAACTATTCCTTTTGTCTTGGAAGCATTTGTTAAAGACATACTAGATTTTTCCCCCTACTATTGTCCATATTGAGTCACTGAACTGCTTATAGTCACCTTCTTGGTTCTATCTTATACTTTTGGTTTGCTTCAGCATTTTCACGTGGTCAGGGGTAATTTTTTGTTTGAAATCATCAAATTGTATGAATTTTATTGGTGTTTCTGTGACATCACAATGATAAATTCTTTGCTTTAGTTTTTCCTTACTGAATACTGCCTGGCCATTCTCCACATAGAATCCTATTACTAATTCCCCACCCATATCCCCTTGATTGAAGTGGAAGGAATTTGACCTGTTGGTCATGAAATCTAGATTCCAGGCTCATTTTAGATATTACCAGATCAAAAAGCCTTCAGCATGTCAACTTTTTTGTTTTGTTCTACTTACAGAAGATCTCTCTAAAACAAAAATTACTAAAGTTAACAGTCACAATATTTGTAAAGACTGTACTTCTTACATGTGTTCTATGTGTCAATTGTGTTCTTAATTCTAATCTCTATTTTTGCGCAGTATAATTGGAACCTGGGGATTATATGGCCATTTTTTGGTAAAAGTATATATTTCATCTTTTCAGGAATATATTTGGCATTAAAGTGAACTATGATTATAATTTTGTGTATTTGCTAAGGAAAAGTCAGACCTTAAAGCCAAGAGTCTACAAAATAAGATACAAATATACTTTTCTTCGAAGAGCCTAAGTCATGGAGAATCTATTAAGACTCATAATCACTTTAGTAGACCAGCAGTGATTGTTACTACTAACTAGTAAACAGTTTACATCAGAAAAGGTAATCAAACAAGGAGAGAAGTTCTCTCCGATATCTAGATGGGAGAATATTAGCGTTAGTATGACTTAAGTTTCCAAAATATACAAGTACATTTCTCTGGATGGGAGAGTAAGATACTTGGACTTCTGTTCACATATTTTAATCTAAGAATACTACAAATTAAGATGCATTGATACTTCATGTATAGCTTGACTTTTGGTATCCTAACTCTATTCTTTGTTAAGTAGATAAGTCACATCTCAGATTGTGTGGGATTCCCTCACAAAAATAATGGGAGTAACACAGCACATAGGGTTGATAGTGGCACCCTTGCTTTCATTAGTTTTGGTCATATTTCAATGTAGTGCAGTTTAAATATGCCAGACACTGAGAATTTATAAGTTATATTACTTTATTACATGTTTATTTAACAAATGTTTATTGATCACATGCTATGTGCCAGTCATCGTTCTAGGTGCTATCACAGACAGGAGTGAACAAATACGTCTCTATTTGAGTGAAGATCACATTTGAGTGAAGAGAGACAGACTATGAAATAAAATATGTCAGGTGAGGATAAGTGCTGGAGAGGTTTACAGGGAAAAGGGATAGAGAAAGGTGATGCGGGAAGGATGTTCGATTTCATGTGAAGTGGCGGGGGAACACTGAGCAGAGACCAAAAGACGATAAAGGTGACTAAACCAGGCTGATAATAAAAACAAATTCAGAGATTTGGAAATGAGATTATGGTTGGGGTATCAAGGAGTAGCAAGTTTTTGCTAGAACAAAGGAGGAGAGTGGTTGGAGATAAAGTTTTTTGTGCAGTCTTTTTAATACTTTGTAATATGGTGGGGTCAGCACTAAAAATTTGTACAACCTAGAGGTTCTGTGCTTTATTATAGCAACATAGTACCTAAGAGTTGTCTAATTTAAGGCTGGATAATGTGTGTTTTTTTCTTTTAAGAGCAGAAAATATTTATTGGGGGAGATAAAGCTTCTGTCTAAAAGCGACAGAAGGGGTCCCAAGTGGGTTACCATGTTTTTGTTTTTTGTGTTTTTTAAAGACAGTGGTTCTTTCCTTTCGTGATGATGACAAGGATTTAACAAGGGATGTTTTATGTGACAGACACTTTTGAAATAGAAATCTCACTGGTATCTCTTCTAGAGGGAAGTGATATTTTAACCATGAATGGGAGAATAGCTGCTTTTCAAAGGAAAGTTGTGCAGTGGAGAGAGCATTTTGAAAATAGTAATTGAGAAACTGTCCATGCTTCTTTCCACTGCAGGCAATATGTATGTTGTCCCTAAAAGCTCAAAATCTGTATACTATGAAAACCTTAGAAATAATATTTCCTAGCCTGTTGGGAAGCCTTGTAGAGTTCCAGTAGAAATTGAACTTATTTGTAAAAATAGGAAATTGCAGTGAGGGTTAGTGGCACCTCCTTGTAATCTCAGCTACTTAGGAGACCATGGGAGAAGGGTTGCAGGACCAACGAGCCTTGACAACTTAGTGGGGGGAAAAAAGTCCCCAAAATAGATTTTCTTTTTAAAAGGGCTGACATGTAGTTCAGTGGTAGATCCCTTGTCTTACTTTATAATCACAATTTAAATAAGATAGTTACTGTTTCTGTTTCGTTTTTGCCACTGAGAATGAATTCAGGATATTACGCTTAGCTGCTGAGCTATATCTCCAGCCCACATATGTTTACTTTTGAGATCTGTATATTGAGTTGAGTTACCTGTTTCAAGGTAACAAATACTAAATCACATTTCCAGAAACCAAAGCTTAGATTATTTCTAAATCAGTGTTATATTAATGATCTTTTAGTAGGATATATTTAGTCACATCATTTCACTGTAGTGAAAATTAAATGATTTATCTTTAAAAAACCTAGTATTTTAATATCTATATTTGTCTAAGAACTCTTACTGTATAATATAAATAACACACTTAAAAATTTGCATGTAAAGGGCTGGGGATTTAGCTCAGCGGTATAAGCGCCTGCCTTGCAAGCAGGCAGTCGTGAGTTCAATCCCCAGTACCGATAAAAAGGAAAAAGACCAAAAAAAAAAAAATTTGCATGTAAGAAACACATGGCTGAGCGAGTGTGGTGGCATACACCTATAATCACAGCGCTCAAAAGCTGATTAGGCAGGAGGATCAAAAGTTCAAGTGTAGTTAGAGCAACTTGGAAAGACCCTGAGTCCCCTAGGATTAAAAAAACGGATGTGTATGTAAGATGTTCTTCTTTGTATGAAAGATCTGCAAGTCAAAAGAGTTTAAACATCAGTGTTCAAGACTTCTAAGCTTATTGATCCAGTGAATTTAAAAAAAAAAAATAAACCATACAATGTAGTTAAGTTTTTAGTGGATTTTGTATAATTTTCCAAAAAAAGTTAATGTTTTATCATTGTTGTGTTTTGAAATTTCAAGCAGTTAAAAACAGAGTTTTTCACCAGGCGTGATGGAACATACTTGCAATCTCAGCCCTAAGGAGGCCATGGCAGAAGGATTGACTGAGAGTTTGAGGCCAGCCTGCACTGCATAGTGAGACCATGTCTCAAAAAGTCAAAAATTTTTTAATTAAAACATAAAAACAGTTGTCATATAAACGGGAGATACAGTTTTTAAACAAACCAAAGTTAAATTCAGATTTAAAACTTAATAACAAGTAGTTGTTTGGCTTTTTGAAAATTTCTTGACTGACAGAAGTGGCCAACATTAAAAAACTACTTAAATTCAGGAAAAAGAGTTGTCACGAAGTGAGGACAGGAGGGTTTCCATTATCACAATATGATTACTATTTGGAGCCTTATTTATAATTGGGATATAATGTTTCTGTATGGTTTTTAATCTGCTAAATATATTGAGCTATAATTATTTATAAAATGAATTTTTACATGATTTCTTTTTTTAGTCCAGTATAGGCTTTTATTTTGTTCAATTTTTAGTGCAGTTTTCATTTACAGCAAAATTGAGAAAAAGAAAAAACTTCCAAAATCTCCTGTGGTTCCCCAGCAGACTGTGTGCCTACACGGACACACCTTAATCACTCAGTGTCCACGGCTGCAGTCTTGTTGGCATTTCTGCACCAGTGTGGTTCTGTTTTGTTTTGTCTGAATTCCCTTTGTATTAAAAATAGAATTAACGTAGTCTATTAAATAGTGGTCATTACTTCTGTCCAAATTGACAAAATTTCACAGATTAGCGAATGGCAGCCTTTCCTGTACTAAGTGCCATAATCCACTGACTTGGCGGGGGGAGGAGAGTCGAAAGGCCACATACAACACTTCATTTCCAGACTGTGCTGGGGGAGTTTATGTAGCCTGTTTTAAGGAATTTCACGTCATAAGGAAATGTTCCCAGATTATTAATTGTCCTTAAGAAATAGTTGTGAGGATGGGGATGTATTAGTCAAACATATATGATGAAGAAAGAAAGCCACAGAAGTATAAGATTCTGAGTGGAACATTAATTAAAAACAGCACATGACAGTACTGTCACTGTAACTCTAGTTTTTGTTGTTTCTGGAATTTCTGATACTCTTAACCCTTTTCAGTTTCTTACCTCTGTATCTCTGAGAAAGTTTGTGCGTGATAGTGACTAGACTAATTATGACAGCGACTGATGAATTTTCTACATGCTTCTTTAGCAGTAAGCTGTAGCGTTTTTAATATACTAACAATCAAACAAAATGCAGCCTTTTCAGTATTTTAGACTCACTAGTTATTGCTTGCTTTTAAAAATCTAGATTTTTTTTTTTCTACAGTGTGAAAGACTATATTACCTTCTATTTTAAAGGATTTGGGTGGGCACATTAGCTTATTATAAGTGACGTTTTTAAAGTGTTAGTAGATTTACCTGATTTCTTTTTAAAGTGATGACACATGTCACAAAGTACTGTCAAAAGAATACCTTTGGAGTTTCTCAGGTACCTCTGAATATGGTTTTTCTTGCTGCCATTGATGAGCTAGCTAATCCTTTGTCTTGGTTAGATCTAATTCTCATTCTGACAGCACCCTGTGCTCCTGCTTTAGGAAAGAGCACAAGGCTTCTGCAGTTTAGACTAGAGAAGACTGGCAATAGGGAGCTTTGCGCCAAGCATACTGACTTAGGTGAGGGAACCACGGTCTAAAAATGCTCTGAAAATACTAGTGGGTTGTTTGTTCTGCCAACATTGGTTTGGTGCCACTAGGATTTTGATGCTGGTAAGGGTATCTAAAGTAGAGATGCTAGGTATTAACAGGGATACTGCTGTTTCTTAGTTTTGTCACTTTGGAGAATTACCAGATTACTTAGCACTTTAATGCTTCCGTCTGTAAATTTGATAGAACAGTACCAACTGGTGCCTGAGTTACTATATCAAGTAATGCAAGTGCTTTAGCATAGCACCTGGCACATAGTAAGTCATCAATAAATTCTAGTTTATTCTGTAAATCTTTATTCACTTACCATCATTAGTTTTGAGTTTTTGTTTAAAAATAATTATAAAATGCCTACCTTAAAACATGTCAATCTATAGTAGAGAACAGAGTTGCTGAAGTAACTCTCTGGAAAGTGAAGGATAAGCAGTCTTACTTGTATCACTGTAAATGTACTTGGTTGCACAGTAGTTAAGGAAATTACTTGTGTAGACTTAGGACCAGATATTTAAGTCAGTCTTTCCCACATGTCCAAAACCTTATTTTTGTTGATTTTGCTATAACTATTAAAAGCTGACAAGTAACACTAATGAATCAAAGATTGGTTACACAGAATCCTGAAAGAAATTACAGACAAATGTTTTAAAGTTTATAAAATGTTACAGAAACTGGGGCTGGGGATTTAGCTCAGCGGCATAAGCGCCTGCCTTGCAAACAGGCAGTCGTGAGTTTGATTCCTGGTACTGATTTAAAAAAAAAAAGTTACAGAAACTAAGTTTGATTATGATGATAAAGCACTTCTTTATTTTCAGATTTCAACTATTGCAGAAAGTGAAGATTCACAGGAATCAGTGGATAGTGTAACTGATTCCCAGAAGCGAAGGGAAATTCTTTCAAGGAGGCCTTCCTACAGGTATGGGACTTAATACGAATTAGAATCAAAATGTGCAAGAAATTTTAGCAGCAGATAAAGAGACGTCAAAAGCCCATTAGCTGCTCAAGGCAGTAGTGCCATGTAGATTATGTCTTTCAAATACATGAAGCTTATCGCACAAAGAAAGCACTGCTTGCTCGGAACAGTACTGAATAAACACTGATTTTTTTGTACACTAGGTTGGCTGCTGCTTTTCCGTTTAAAAGTTTAGAATCCATTTGATGAAGTTATCACATTCTCTAGTTTTGTGTCACTTCTAAGGCTATGCTAGTTACCACTTTAGTTATATCTTTGCAAACCATTTCTTACGCTATACTTAAAAGACAACTATTTAGTTTAGTACTTGTTTCCATTAGTACTTTGCTAACATCCTTAATTTCAGAAGCACCTTACTATAGTTTCTGTGTTCTGCTATGGATGTTGCCTGGGCTATTTTGCTTGCTTCCAAAGCAGACCAAAACTCTTCATTGTATGTAGAAATCGGCTCCATATTAAAAACCCCAGGAAGGGCACAGCCAACAGATCTTACTAAGCTTACTTTAAAGTTTAATAAATTTCAAACTTACAGTTCTCTTCCTTGTCATGAGTCTAAATTCTATTTATATTTCTTCTCACTTAGTCATTAAGTTACTCCTTTTATCTGTCATCAAATTAAGAATCCTAAGTTAATATTGATAAATTGATTTTTGTTTTTGTTTTTTGAGACAGGGTCTCACTCTTAGCTCAAGCTGGCATTGAACTCACTATGCAGTCAAGGCTAGACTTGAACTTGCTGTGATCCTTCTGCCTCAGTCTCCTGAGTTGCTGGGATTACAGGCATGCGCTACCATACCTGTTAAGTTTTTGAGGTCTTAAGAAGTTTTATGTTTCTAGGTACATATTGTGTGAACATACTCTGAAAACATATCTTAGCTGCAGGCCCCCTAAGACACAGTCTTTGTATTGAAAAGAATCTCTCCTTTGACTTAATTGACTCATAGCCTAAACCCTTGCGATGGTCATTTAAAAAATAACACCTTGATAATCAAAAAAAGATACTATGAGTCAGACACATCTAGAAAAATGTTTCTATCATCCCTTATAATCAAACTTTGACATGGGCACCATTAAATTTATAAATTCCTGAAACATAACCCCTGAGTCTTGACTACAGTGCAATAACAAAGTTTCTTGTGATACTGTTGCAAGTTTGGGGAAACAGAGGTTAACTGATAGTACTAGAATGACCCATCTTTATAGTGCTTAATTTATATCCAGAGGAAGTCCTCGAAAGGCCCTCCACTTGGTCTCATTTGGATTGGTGTTTTAATAACAGTATAGCTGAACGATATAAAAGTCATGGTCATCGGATTTGCAAATGACAGCACCTTACGAGGCGAGTACCAAGAGGGAGAAGAGAGTAAGTACTTCAAAAGCATAGCAGCCAAGGGAAGTAGACTGAAAGAAAGTGATAGTAATCATTGTAAAATTGTGAATGTGGGGATGAAATAAAACCAGGTGTTCAAGATGTATCAGATTCTGGATTAAAAATTCACTTGAAAGACCTTTAACTCTTTGATTATAATTGATATAATACAGTCCAACTCCCTCCCCAGTATACTACCAGGCTACCTTAGTAGTAAAACCTAATGTCTAGACCAAGGGAGGGAATTAACCCACTACTCAGACCACATCTGGAAGATATCGAGGGCAGATGACTGAGTCCATTTAGAACAGGGAGGGCGAGGCTGAGAGCTTTCGGTGATAACAGACAGTGCACTGCAGTAGATGCAGCCGTAGGTTTGCCGCCACTGGTTTAGAAGATGAATAATTTGTAAAACTGGAAAGAAAAAAAAAAGAATGGTTGTGTTAAAGAGATGAAGAAATACATTATCTTGGCACTTCTCTACATATACACATACAGATACACTCATACACAAATGCATGTGGTTTTTATTTTGTTCTTTCTAGTTCTTACATTTGGCATGACTGACTCCTTTGGACTTTATTAAAATTTATCTTTAAATTGTGGTCTAAACACTAGTAGCAACTATCTACCTGTTTTCAAATCTTTACTATTTGTATTTAGCCAGTAAATTTTTTAATTTACATAATTCTCTTTTTCTAGGAAAATTTTGAATGACTTATCTTCTGATGCACCAGGAGTGCCAAGGATTGAAGAAGAGAAGTCTGAGGAGGAGACGTCAGCCCCTGCCATTACTACTGTCACGGTGCCAACTCCAATTTACCAAACTAGCAGTGGACAGTACAGTGAGTAATCACTATTTCTATTTTGAAAACGGAGAAGAAAAGCTGATCATTGTTTTTAAGTGCAAAGTCGTTTCTAAGTCTCGCTGCTATCATTGTATTTACTTTTTAGTATGCAGGGGATAAACATCAGGACTGCTAAAATTAACAGAACACTTTACCTTTTGTCTCATATACAGCAGAGATTTCTCCACAAATTTACTAGTTTCCATTTGACACCCAAGTCTCTTGCTTTTTCATGTTTCACCTAAACAGTTGTTGACTGCTTTTGAATTGTGCTTTTGTTTAATCAAAGACATCGGTATGAACAGAACTTTGTTTTTTCTTTCCTCTACCTTTCCTTTCAATGTATCTTACACATGAAACCCAGGTTACTAATATTTTAGTTTCAGCCCAACAATACCAACATTGCTAAAATGCAGCTTGAATTCCAACTTCGTTAAAAACAGATTCCCAAAGCTAAACTTAGTCAGACTAAGCTGCTTGTTCACTAAGCTTAATGAATTAGTTTGATGTCGTTGTTGTTGGCAGAGTGCATCTCTGTGGCTTTGTGTGTGTATTTTCAATTTATGACAGCTTCATAAACAGATAATTTTAGTTATTTAAGGGGTGTCTTTTATGACATGTGACACATAACCATATCCTTACTTCAGCATACCGAGGGGTATATAAAATATTCCTGTCAGTAACAGATTCACTGTTGAGAATTTCTCACTTGATCTTGAAAGGATGCTTTTTCGGAAAGAAACATACCTGAATCTGAAAGAGGCAAGTGAAGTTTGGAGAAGCACTGTCATCTGTTTACATGCATGCTTGATTTTACATCCACTTCTCCAGCAACTGAAAACTACTGGTTTTAAGAGATTAATAATACTTTGAGAGTTTTGAAGCTTTATTTATTATATTTATTCCGTATCCTCTCTTTTACATGTGGCTTTGTATTAAGCAATACAATGAATACTCACATGTACAGCAACTTTTACATATTTTTTAACTCGCAAAGTGAACATATGGTTATCAAATATCAAGTGTTAGAGGGTTATATGTATAGTACTATTAAACATACTTCCCTTTTATTCTTCTCCATAGTAACAGTAATAGATAGTCCTCCATTCTTTTTCATATATATGCTTTCCTGTTACATACTCCTGTGCAAAATCTCAGCCAAGTCTACACTTAATTGTATTTCTTTTGTCTAAATTTCTGATAGAATCATATAGCACTAGAGACATCAGTTCCTTGATATCTGTCTGTATTTTTAGGTTTACAGAAATTGGTTTTATTGAAACTACCTCAATTCCTTTGGGAGTAATCCAGTGTATGAATAAGTATTATAGAGAAGAAATTCAATAGGGTCATACTTCAGTTTTTAAAATACTTTCCTTACACAACCTTATTTAATGTTTGTTTACAACAGTCATACTGGGTAGCTGTTTCTACAGAAGAGATAACAGAATCAAATAACAGCTTAGCCACCGAACTTGAAGTACAGCCCAAATTTTTTCATATCAATTTTCTTCCTTCTGGAATCCCCTCTTTCATTTGCTGTAGAGCAAAAAGAAAAAAATAAGTGCCAATTAAATATACTGGATGCTGGGTATGGTGGCACACTCTTGTAATACCAAGACTGAGGAAACTGAGGTAGGAGGATCACAAGTTTGAGTCCTGTCTGGGCAAGTAAGCAGGGGCCCTGTCGCAGAGGAAGGATACCTGGATGGATGGGGCTGGGGATGTAGCTCATGGCAGAGTGCTTCCGGGTTGATTCCCGGTACACAAAACAAAACACACAGTGACATGTGCTTATTAACTCCGTGAGAATTTGTGGTTTGAGTGTGAAATCTTGCCAAATGAATCTTAGAATAATTCTTACATATTCCGTTTTACCTCTTCTCAAAGTAAAACTGGGAATAGCTGAAATGGATGGGTTTCATATGCCAGTGTCTTAACTTCCATAAATACCATTTTGTCAAACCAGATAATAATCACCAACTCTTATTTCTTGATTAAATGGTACATAACCAGTTTTTCATATGCAGATTACTAAGGCTGTTAGTTTTCCATAACTTGGTAATAATTGACCCCAAAATTAACTTTTTCATGTATTATAGCATAAAGGTAATTTCAGTTTTTTGTAAAGTGATATATCTGTTAATTTGGGCATTGATGAATATTCTTTTAACTGACAGTGATGAGTATGGCTAATAAATAATCAACAGAGGCGCAGCGTGAGCATGCTGAGATACATAACTGGAGTGACAGTCCGATATTCTTTTCTTAATGGTGATTTTGGACTCCTAATTTTAAGCTCCTTAAGAGATTTGCAATAACTAAGTTCTAGAAGCTTGCTTGTTTCATTGAGTGGACACTTCTTTCTTTCTTTTCTTAAGAGCAGTTCTTTTTGGGCATGGTAGCACACTCCTGTAGTCCTAGCATTTGAGAGGCTGAGGCAGGAGGATCATTTCAAGTTCAAGACCAGCCTGGGCTACAAAGTGAGCTTGAGGTCTGCCTGAACTGCATAGTGAGATCCTGGCTCAAAAAGACCAAAAACAAAAAAGTTTTTCCTGTGTGGCCCAGGCTAGGTTTGAACTCATGAGCCAGCCTTCTACCTTCATCTCCCAGTTAGCTGAGATACAGGCACATGCCACTGTACCAAGCTATTTAAGTGTACTTAGAACACAGGCAGAAATTGCTAGGAAGTGAGAATAGAGTACTCTGGTGAGCTACTTTATTAACTAATTGCATTATAAACCAGGCATTTATTGGGTGCCTGTTGCATGTTCACCCAGTGCATAAAAGTGGAAAACAGTCACATTCCCTTCATCAAGATATGTATTTACCATATGGATCACAAAGATAGGATTTCCTAAGAACCAAGTAACTGCGAAAGCAATTTAATATTTTTCTGTTTGCCTGTGTTTTAAAAATTAACAAGCACTATTATCAATTATGATGAAGTTTGTAGGGTGCGTTTCTGTTAGAGAAATTGAAAGTGGTTTTCCTAAAGAGAAAGTTGATGGTTCTGGGTGCTGGTATTTACTGTGATAATCTCTCTTAGGGTTGTGTTTTGCAAATTTTCTTTATTGAATTTAATGTGTTTTTAAAAATCTTACATAATGTTAATTAAACTTGTAACAATAAACTTCATTGGGTTCTAGTTGCCATTACCCAAGGAGGAGCCATACAGCTGGCTAACAATGGTACCGATGGGGTACAGGGCCTTCAGACATTAACCATGACCAACGCAGCTGCCACCCAGCCGGGTACTACCATCCTACAGTATGCACAGACCACTGATGGACAGCAGATCTTAGTGCCCAGCAACCAAGTTGTTGTTCAAGGTAAGGGAGTTCAGAACTCACAGTTGTGGTTCTTTGAAAGATTAAAATTTAATCTTTCAAAAGAAAGTAAGTATCATATTCTAAAGCACTATTAAATATAGTTATCTTTTCTTCAGTAATATTTTCTATGAACTCTCCCATTATTCCACTTATGCCAAATGTCATGGCATAAAAACAACTATTTTCAGTTTTTTAAATATAATATGCATCTTTAGAATTTGGGGATGGGAGAGGTAGGTTAGATGGGAGGGTAGGTTAGAAAGAACTGAGAAGGGAATAAGATGGATTCTAGATCTGATCCTGCATGGAACTTCTGTCTGACTTTGAGCAGGACCCAATCTCTTTCATTCTGTTTTGTCCTGTTTTTTGTTTTGTTTTTTTTATCATGTGTCAAATGAAAATTGTGCTAGTGACTGATAAGAACTTTGGAGGTTCAGAATTCTGTTTCTCACTTCTTAGTCAAGGGAAATTTAGATCTTCTTTTCTAAATTCGTGAATTTTTTTTAAATGAGAACACTATACTCCAAAAGTAACATGCTAGTGTACAAGTCTTCTGGTCTTTGGAGAAAAAGAAGTTATTAAATTTGAAGAACTATAGAAATGGCTTTTTTCTTACTAAATTTAATATATTTTATTTATTCCAGGAATCTATGGATACAAGTTGGCCATTTTTGTTGAATTCATTTCAATACAATAATTCAATATAATAATTTATGCCAGATTTCAAATTTTTAGATTGAATGAATAATATGTTTTTGAAAGATGGTTGCATTGATAGTAATGCAATTTGCCCTAATGACATTTGTATCCTTTCACAGATAATTACTTTTGAATAATTCTAAAAGACCAACTAGAGAGTCATAATTTAAAGGACCCTAATGTATTTACAGAACATATTCTGTTATTAAACAAATAATATTTGAAAAAGGTAATATTTTGCTTATTAATGGGAGTAAAACACCTTTTCACTTTACATGCAGGTACTCAAAAATTGTAAAGGATGTCAGTGAATTTGAATTCTGAACGTCAGTTTGAAGATGGTAACATGTTTAGTATATAAATCTTTTTCACTCAAACTACACATTTTAACTAGTATTGATATCTAAATATGAATATTTTTATAAAGACCTTCCTATTTTCTCACAATGTTAGGTTTTTCGTTTTAGGGCAGCATGTTTCTTAACACTGTTTTTAGAAGTACTTTGACAAATAGTGATTGTTTCTTTGCACAAATGGTGATTGTTTAGTTAGAGACAAAACTTGAGTTTGTTAGCCATTACCATTTACATTAAAACCATGTTTACAAAAAGTTGGCATCGAACCGTATACTTTTTCATACTTGCAGTTTTGTTTATTAGAGATTTATAATAGTTGACAATTAAGCTTTATTTTCTCTTCCGTTTTGCTATTTTATGAAAAATTATGATCATTTTTATGTCGTGGCAAGAGTCTTCTTGAAATTTTTTAATACGAATTTACCAATAGCAGAGGAAGGCATTGAGGACTATACTCTATCTAGGAAGATCAACCCAGATGTGCCCTACTTCCCTTTTAGACTTGAGGTTGGTAAGCATGTTAACCACAGAATAGAACTGCAATCCTATGAAAGATAAATGTAAGATCAAATAGACACAGGTTAAGACCTCTTTTATCCAAGTGTCTATACTAATGAATACATTAATTTGAATTTATTTCTAATGACCAAAAAACTGCTAATTTTTTTTGACATTTTAGCCAAAATCATCTGTTCCTTACTGTTTATCTTCTAATTCCAAAAGTATGTTCAGATTGATGATTGACAGGAAAAGTTGAGTCAAGTCAGAGTGTTTGTGTCTTATGCCTAGCTCACTGTGTTTCTTTGCAGCTGCCTCTGGAGATGTGCAGACATACCAGATTCGCACAGCACCCACCAGCACTATCGCCCCTGGAGTTGTTATGGCATCTTCCCCAGCACTTCCTACACAGCCTGCTGAAGAAGCAGCTCGAAAGCGAGAAGTTCGCCTAATGAAGAACAGGTACATATGTTCCACTGCTTAGATATTGTGGGCTGAGTACATCCACAAATGCTGTGAAACATGTCTTTCTGTCTACTGATAATAGGGTCTTTGCGTTTACTGGAAATTTTCTTCTGGCAAAATTTGATGGATCTTGCTGAAATACCTTTTGTTCAGTAAACTGCACTTTTAAAATCATTAATAAGATATTATCTGTCTTTAATCATAAAATTTTGTAATTCCCTATCATAGGAAATTTAAGTTTTGCTATGTTTGTAATTTGCTCCAGCGATTGGCTAGGTTATTTAAAAATTATTTTTCGTGAGTAGTATTGTTTGATGAGTATTGTGTGTATTCACAGTAACTGTTAAACTTTCATATTGAGTTTATTTGTAATAAAGTAAATGTGTGGTAGCCATTCCATGTTTAATGAATATTTTTATTTTCCCAAAAAAACAGTCCTTGAAAATAGATTGATTCTAAGAATACCATGTTTAGACTAAATCTTAAAATAGGCTTCAGTAGTGAAAATACTACATATACCGGCTGGGAATGTATATAGCTTAGTTGTAGAGGACTTGTCTAGAATGAGCAAGGAAGCCTGGGGTTCAGTCTCCAACACCACACACCAAAAAGAAAATAGTGTAGGCCAAAAATCTGCGAGATGTAGACAGAGTTATTCTCAGAAAGAAACTTCATTGCTATAAATGGTTTTGCCATTTATAACAGCATAAAAATTACTAAACATTTAGCTTAAGATTTTAATAGGGAAATGACTAAGACAAAATGAAAATAACAGTATATAAAGATAAAAGATTTGAAATTGATGGAAACATTCTATTTTTCACCCCAAGATTCTTCAAATACTATGGTAAAATGAAAGAAAGAAATTGAATTTGGAAGAGTCTGGTTTCAGGTGCTGGCTCCAGCTGTCCCCTGTGACTTTGGAGAACATACTAATAATCTTCTGTACTTGCAAGTTTTCTCCTTTGTAAAATCACCCAAAGTGATATTCTAAGGGTCAAATTAAATTACTCTTCTGCAAGCACTTTGTAACTAAAGTGCTCTGTTGAACTCTTTCTTTGAGTGATTTCATGTTTCAGCAGAACAGCCTCTTTGTTCCTAAAATATTCTTGGCTGTCACCATATTCATCAATTATATCTAAGCTATGAGAAATGACAAAGCCAGTGTAAGATATTAGGGGAAGGGGCCGGGGGTTTAGCTCAGCCTGTGTAAGTTGCCTGCTTGGCAAATGCAAAGTCATGAGTTTCATCCCCGGTACCAGAAAAAAAAAATTATATCAGGGGAAATGTTGGGAAGATGAGTGACTTATATTTGTGTCCCATCAGTCTGTGATATAGCTTACCCAAGTGACCTAGGTTCAATCCTTATTTATGACGAAAAAAGAAGGAAGACTTTACATTGTGTCTGTGTAGTTTGACTGTGTGGACAAAAACATTTCCTCCTCGTTGAGAAAAGACTAGGAGCAGAGCCATGTCGCTTCCCACCTGGTCCATGGTGGAGAGACCTGCCCAGAGCACTGCCCAAGGTAGAAGCTCACTGACCAGCGGGCTACATTTCCATCTTCTCTGTTCATTTTTCCTTCCAATTTGTAGTCCTCTGTGCTCCCCATTTCACCCACACAGCATACACCAAGTTAGGGACAAGGTTACAGCTTCCTAAGAATCTTTTTCACGTGAGATAGAAAAACTACCTGACTTAATTGTGGAGTCCAATAAAATACTTCCGCGTCGATTTTGTTACACTGGTCTTTAAAAGGTGACTTTCCACAAATTACTTTCCCCCTTCATTACCACATTATTGCAGCTTCTACTTCTTCAGCTTTTTCAGCTTCTGTTCAGTGGAACGTGGCTTCTGTGACCACCCCTGTGGTCCTCCCATGTCTATAAAAAGTAAAGGTCCCCCCACACAACACACCCTTTGGGCAGACCTAGTATTGTCTTTTCATTTAATTTCAGCTCTGTGGAGTATTTAACCTTGTGACTGCTTATTCTTCTGAACTGTTCTTTGACTCATTTACCTGTTTTTTTTAGTCTAGTTTATAAGTTTCCTCTTGGCGCTTTCATGTATCTCAGGTATCATCCTCCATGTGCTGATAGGTCATCATTCTATATATTCTGACTTTGATCTTTCCTCTGACGTGGGTGCTTTGTATTATTCATTCTGCCTGCAGCAAAATTGATTCATTTTCCCATTTTGTACAGGAAGAGAAGGTAAATATTAGAGAAAATATTGTTGCCAAAGGTCACATCTCTTAATAGACTGGTAGAACTGAGATCCAACCTGTGTCTGGTGCCAAAACCTGTGAACATGCTGCTTCACCACTGGGCAACTTCCCAGAGCATGTGGCAGGGCCCCAGGTGGTTTGCAGCACCTGGAAGTGCACACTGAATGCTTTCCTCAGATGTTCATTTTGTTCAAAAATAACCATTCTTTTAAAAGTTTAAAATTTTTGAGTAAGTTACAGTGGTTACTTTGGGCTTTTTTCCCAAATCCCCTCATTTACTTTCCTGTTACTATGCCTACTTGTGGGAAAGTTGAGAGAAATCCTCTCCTCCTAAACATACTAAGATAACCATCTTATGTACACCAGAGAGGGCCTGTTTTAAAATAGACTTGGATGGGGAAAAGCTGCAGCCCCAAAAGTACACTGTCCAAATAGATCTTTACTCTAAAATGAAGCTGGCATCCTGAACGAAAATAGAGGTGGCTGTATACTGCAGTCATAAAAGCTTGGTGCCTTAACAACAACAAAATTTCTTTCCTTAACAAGTTATGTTTTGACAGCTGCAAGTTAGTGGCCTGTAGGTCTTCTTCACACACTGTCTGGTTCAGGGATCCCGGCCCAAGTGGTGGCACCTCTGAGACAGGGCAGTCTTGCAGTAACAGGAAAAGGGCAATGCTTTGGAAAGCAGATGCTGGACTGTGGCGAACGACATGATAATCGTGGGTATAGGCCACGACACAGGCAAGGACAGGTGCGAAGTTAGCAGAATGTGAACGCAGTCTTGCCAGTGGAGAGAGGGAGGAAAAAGTGTGAAAGCATTACAGTTTACCACTCTGGTCATTAGTTGACTTTAGGGGCAAGAAGGGTTTACTAGCATGCAGCACATGTTCACATTCCAATTGTGTGGAATTGGTACACATATATAACACATGTTAATTCCTTTTTCATACCTTTTCTCTCCTCCCTCAGAGTAATAAAGGAAAATGTTAAATAGACTTCACCATATAAAAATGTTAAACTTCTGTTCAGGAAGAAAAAGATAATGTAGAAAAGCTAACAATTAACTGGAAACATTTTAGTAGTGTCAGACTAATGAATTGAGGATATAAATAGGCAGAATCACAGAAAATAAACATGATAAACATTAAAAATTTCAAACAACTGGAGTGTATTTAAGGTAAAGTAAGATGTCTCCATTAAACTGAATACAGCTCTCTACTAAGAATGAAAATATATTTTTATTGAAATGGGCAAAGTTCTTAATGGACAAAAGCAGATCACCAGAGAATGTGTACATTACAGTCATTTTTTAGAAATTTACTCTTATAAATGTTTTACATGTTCATGTTTTACATGTTCATGCGTAAGCTAAAAATGTAATCCCCTTTAATTGTACCATCCAAAATGTTAATTTAATATTTTAGAATATATTTTGTCCTAGTACAAAGGAGCATACACATTTTATTTTTTTAATTGTTTTTTGTCTTTTTGAGACAGGGTCTCACTGTGCAGTTCAGGCTGGCATTGGACTCACTTTGTAGCCCAAGCTGGTTTTGAACTTTCAGTGGTCCTCCTCCTCAGCCTCCCTAGTGTTGGGATTACGGGAGTATGCCACCATGCCCAACTGCATATACAATTTAATATATAATTTTAGCATAATATATAATCAAAATATATTTGTCAAAACTTAAGATATACATTGGTATTGTTCTACTTGCCGAGTTAAACATTTCACTCAGATTTCTCCCATTTTTTTTATATTCCTTTTCCAAAATCCAGTCTTAGGATACCACACTGAATTTATTTGTCTTGTCTCCTTCATCTCTTAACATTTCAAAAGTAGGGACCAGACTTCTAGAATGTGTCTCAGTTTGAGTTTGTCGGGTACTTTTTTATGATTAGATTGGGTTATTAGATTTTGAGGAAATCCTGGTTGGTGTGCTGGACACTTATCATGTCATATTAGAGAACATATACCAGCAGGACTTAATTACTGGTGAATTTAACTAAAGTGCGGGCCACATTTTTCCACTGTAGAATTAACCATATTTCTCTTTGTGTACTACATTCCTGAGAAGCAGTTTTCACTGAGTTCAACCCACATTGAAGGGGAGCAAAATTAAACTTCACCTCCCAGAAGAGAGAGTATTAAAGAATTTTTGGTCACTTGTTACAGCCACTACAGTAGTTGGTACATGTTATGGGGGTTACCTAGAGCCTCTGCAAACACCTCCTTTCTCCTGTTGGGATTACCCACTAATTTTAGTACAGGTTCTTTATGCTAAATGCATAGGACTGGAAGAGTCTGGCGCATTCCTGCTTTAAGAATAATTGTATAGATTAACCATTAAACATCTTTAATATGAAAAATCCAAAATTTAAAACTTTTTGAGTGTCATATTGGTTTCAAATTTGGGGACATTTCAGGTTTTCGAATTAGAAGTTCTCAACCTGTATTCACTGGTAAATCTTGTTCAGGGTTAGCTGCTGTAATACTATGATGGGAATTTCTTTATTTCTGCTTTATAGTCTTCTACATTTACTGACTGAATTTCTTCTTTAAGGAAGATTTGTCCCATTTCCCCTATTTACAGTAAGGCCATGCAGTTATTGGAGAGTTTATCGTTATTATTCTATGTCAGGTTATTCTTATTGTTTAGCTTTTGCTACTGAGGTTGTCTTTTTTGAACTTGTTCTTTGCCTCTCCATTCATTCATTCATTCATTCATTCATTCATGGTGCCAGGGTGGGGATTTGCCAGGCAAGTGATTG